ACGCTCTAATTGCATCGACATAGGAAAACAGAGGAGAAAGAGACGAGTCATTATTGCGTTATGGAGGGACGCGAAGCGGAACAAATGTCGATGACGGGAAATTGCTGTCAAAACTCGTGTTTAATCGGCCGGCTAATTCACCGTGCGATCTTTCTCGGCTTGGAGAGACAGCAATCTTCGGCTCCGCGACATTCACGAAGGAAATAAAGAGATGGCCGTTGGAAAGCTGTCACCCACCGTCGAACGAGGATGGAAAAGGAGATGGAAGGGGAATAACAATGCGGATAATAGGATGGCTCTGTCTTGCCTCCTCCGGGGACCTCGGATTGATTCGAAAATAATTTCAAGGGGAAGAGCGGAGCACGCGAGACGAAACGAATTTTCCTTCCTTTCTCGATTCCCGCATTCTTTTCTTCTCTCTCGACTCTCGGAGACGCGACGAGAGAATCGTTTAAGAGAATCGTTCGAATTCGAATTAAGCGGAAACTGATTCGCGAGTAATCAGGAAAGAAGATGATTTCCCGTTCGATTACGCGCTCCTTGTCTACCTACCCCACCAGGCCGGTTTCTCTTCTAATTTGACGCATCATGATGGCAAACATTTTTCACGAAATACCCTCGAAATAATCCCTCCCGCGTAACCTTCGTAATTAATTTCATCGGGCGTGGAAACGTGCTGCTTTCTCCCGTAACAAAGTTGCATTTTTCCCCGGGGTAACGAAAGGTTTTGTGTTGGCGATCGTAATTGAATCGTGAACACCCGTTTTTGTCCGTGGTTTGTTAACGGAAACGTATATGAATGAGATTCTGAATTCGGCACTGTACTGTAGCTGTGTGTACTTCATTTTCGTAAAACGTTATTGTTGCGCGATGAAGAATTCAGAACGTGTTTTTCTCGACGGAGGAGAACTGTTTTCGAGATATAAATAACCTCGAATCCCTTCCAATTTACATTTCTTCCGATTTTGTTCTAATAATTTAATAAAAGAAAAAAAAGAAATCGAATCGCAATAAGGCGAAACTCGATGATGAAACACGCAACAATATTTTGTATCGATTAAATCGACACATAATTTCTCGAAGCGCAAATTATTCCCCGCAATTTCGCAATTTTTTATGCATCCTCTTCCGGCTATCATCCTACGCAGGCGCTCGAATGCGCGACCGCGATGCATCCTTCCTCCCCCGGGATATAAATATCGGGGGCTGACCGAGCTGCTGCATTTAATGCGTCTGGATAGGAAAGGGAACGGAAAATGATAATGTGCCAACTTCATTGGCGCGTCATTCGGGGGGGGGGAGGGATCATAATGACCGGGGAGAGGAGGAGGGGAGCATCGGGAAGGGAGGGAGGGCCGGTGTCCAAATTAAAACCGGAAACAAAACAGACGGACGAACAATGAGGCTCGAAAGCAAAGGTAATAAAGTATGATAAACGTCACGAGCAGCGGACTTGCCTCTTTGTTGGCGACCCCCGGAGTCGTGCTCCCTCCTCTCTCCCCCCCATCTACTCTCCTCCACGCCCCGTTCCCTCCGCCGTGCGAATTCTAATGCCCGCCGTCCTCGGCAAGGACGCCAATTGAATTTCTTCTGCAAACTTTGCCTATCTCGAAGGAAACTCGGCGGCTCTATCGATGTCGGGCAAATAATACGATCGAGAGGAAATAAAAGGGTTGACACGAGATGGGATCGAGAGTGCTTGTCGATCGCGAGCGCGTCACGATTGTTACAGAGGATTCGAGGAATTGGAGGGAACGTCGATCAGATCAGAGAAGCAAGATCGGTCGAAGTTTATAACGCGAAGATCGTGGAGATTAATTTCGCGTAAATCGATCGGTGTCGCGCAAAAATAGGCGGCGAATTCGGCCCGGAAGAAAATTACATATGTTTGTATAATATTGCGTATTGTTCGCAATTTATTGACTCCGGCCGAATAATTTCTAGTCACGGAGGGGTGTTTACACGATTTGCCGAAAATCCGGCTTAATTCATGCCGAAACAGCAATCACTGTATTACCTTGTAACGAAGTACAGCTCGTTATGTAATTCTATTCGCATTATACAGTGGCGAGCGTTCAATGGCGTTAAATGAAACCCGGGCGCGCGAAACAACACACAGGGAGTATCGACATAACAATGTTTTCAAGAGTTTCGCTACGCAACTGTTCGAGACTCGAAAATTAGCACGTTTCACGGCACGCGAACCATTCGTTTGAAGGTCTCGCGAAATTTCCGATATCCGACGCGTTAATGGTGATTTCGGGTTCGTTAAGTGGCGCGGGCCGCCTTTGTGCGGAAATGGATTCCTCTCCTAAAAACCTGGAAGAATAACGCGTCGAAGATTTGTTAAAAGCGGAGGAAAGACGAAACTCGAAATTTTTTCGAAAGTGGAATGAGAATTTTTTTTTTCTTTTTTTTGAAAAATGAAATTCAATTATTATTATTCGATGAAAATTCTCGTGAAAATTTTTATCGTTCGTGCATTCATTGATAAACTAGAAATTTTCTGTTTTTTCTCCCCGCAAATTATAACTGATTTCTGCAAAATTTCGGTATCTACGTAAAACACACGTAGTTGAATTTCGAATAAAATCCTGAAATAATTTGATATTTTATTATAATTTTTTTTCTTTTTTTTTTTTTTACTATACACATCTGCATTTCTATTTCATCACCATGATCGGATCGATTTTCTAACCCCGAATAGCCACGTCGAATCAGAGCCATTCCAACAATTCTATTTGCGAGCGAAACTTGTTAACTGTCGAATTACCAATAAATTACCAAGGCACAAATATTTTCACAAAGCCAAACTGGTGCGCGGACGAGGATTCGTGTCGCTCGGAATTATAGTTTCGAAGTTGCAAGTTCGTTATTTTCAACCGGGAACAGCCACCTCGCCAAGTATAGTCCTTCCATTTTTGTTTTCGTACGTTTTCCATTTTCGTAGGGATCACGCGTTTAATAATCGTTCCTGCACTACCCTGGCTGCGAATCTCGTTACGAAAAAACTCGAAATTTTCCGAACCAACGAACATTTTTGAAGAGGTCCGCGCATTTCCATATCCGACGATTTCCCGCGTGGCGCCATCGAACTTTTTTTACGCTTCCGTCCAAACAAGAACAGCGGTCAACACTTGCCGCCAAACGATGAAAAGCAACGATACAATCGTGCAACAATAACAAAGCCAAAAATCTCGAATTTCGAATCAGATATGGAAGAAACACGGATGGAAAATTCGATCCGTTTAACTCGCAGACTTTTGGAGAAACCTTTATTCCTTTATTCGACCATGTTAGCCCGAACGATATCTTGACCTACCCGACTACCTGGCTCGTAAGTTTCCACGTATTAGCCCGGAGTCGCCGAAATCGCCGTGGAATCGGGGGTGAAAGGACGTTCATAGATCAAACTGATCCCGTGTTATACGTGTCGCGGGGAAGAAGAAAGGTCGAATGGAATCGCGATTGTTCGTGTGAACGGGCGCGGAAAGAGAGAGAGAGAGAGAGAGTTGGGAGGCGGAAGTTGGGACAGGTGCGCGAGAAGACGAAGAAGACCCGGTCCATGGTAGGTTACGTACGAACCAGGGACTAACGTACGAGGTTGGAGCTTGGCCAGCCACTATTTCACACGGGCCAAGAGCTAGCTAGCCGCTGGTCGACTAACCTCCAGCTGACCAATGGACCATCGGATAACCTATGCCACCTAACCCATCCGGTGGAAATATGCTTACGATATACGGCCGCATTTTCGACAACGAGCCACGGCCGCCCCTTTCGCGTTCTGTCGCTCTTACCACCGTTTACCGGCCGTTCGACTCGCCTGTCGCCTGTTTACCCCGTCTCGTCCCCCGATCTAAATCGATTTTAATTTAATTTAAGAAACACGTGCGTTCCGAATTGTTTTTTTTTCTCTCGATTCTGTATTTTCGAGATTGCGAAAGTTTAAAAGTTCCAACGGTTTCTCAGTAGAATTTTCAAGAAGACAATTCAAAGAGACAAAAAGAAATCGATGCAAGGGGATCTTCCACTCGAAGGATTTTTATATCGTTGGCTATTTATCGAAAGAGGAATTAAGCGTGGAAACTTTGCGTGGAGCGCAAAGTAGCATCGATCAACTCGCGCAATGTCTCTCTACACGATCTTGGAAAGTGTTGTATAGAGAAATCAAAGTGCACGCGTCAAATTCGCCGCCACTTTATATTCGTTTGCGAGGATTTATCTGCGTCCCGGTCCGAGAGAGAAGCGAAACCTCTTCTCTCGTTCGATCGCTTCGACGACGGCATATAGGCGACGGTATGGAACGCCATGCCTCGTTTCGAGATTGGAGATTCTCCCAAGGGGTCAAAAGACTCACGAGCGTGGAAGGCGCGGGAGGAAGAGGTGGGGCAAAGTGGAAAACGCGGGGGGAGACGTATCGGACGGAAGGCAGAGGGCAGGAAAAAGAGAGAGACGAGGATAATCGTTGGGAAGGATGGGGCTGTGGATGCTGTCATTTGGCGATGCATGCATCATCGTTTATGTCACTTGACTCGAGAGGATCGGCCAACGTGACACGGCCGAGCGGAGTTCGTTGCAGCAACGCGTACGAAGACGGATAACCACGCGCGCGCAATCAAGAATTTTAATGTTACGATGATTATAGTGTATACTTTTGCGGAAGAAGATGGGGTAATCTTCGTGAAGTCGTATCCCTCTCTTCGGGAAAGCTGGGAGGCATCAAGATCGACGTGGCAAGATCGTTCATCGAGAATGCAGAAACGCAACTCTCCAACCTTGTGAGATATTAAACCTCGAATCCTTTATCCTCTTCGGTCGCTACAGTCTTGCCCTCCATCACCTCGAGATGCCTCTCCAATCCCTATTTCTCTTCTGGATCCCGCGATGTCGCGCTCGAGTTTCCCAATAAGAACCGCAGAAACGCTTGATCAGGGAGGAAGCTTCCCCTCCACTGTGCCCGTGTCTCGCTGCTACCGTGAAATATCACTATTCCTGCTTACCGCAGTCTGTTCGAAGCAATATCGCAGGCAACGATGTCGATTATCCTCCTTTCTTCATGCCTCCTTTGTCAATGTTTCGAGTTATGCGAGATGCAACTGCGACACGAAGACGAATGATCCTTGGTACTTGAATTTCCATCCATGTTCGATCGAAAAATTATTTTTCGTATCCAGCAATTAATAACAAAAGTTGTTCGTATATTTCTTCGAATCGATATCGAATCCAACGGAAACTTTCTTAAAATTTCTTCGCGTAGCAGGAAAAAGAGTAGTCGCCAAAGTATATAACGATTTATTATTTGTCAAACGTGTCGACAAATCTCGCGCGTTTCTCGCGCCATTGCGGGTCGTTGATCGCTTCCCACAATGGACGGGGTTGACATTATGATAATATTAGACCGTCCGATCCGGATGATGGATGGAGATTTTAAGATCGAGGGGGATCCTGGGTAATACCTGGCCGTCCATTGTGTCGCCAGCCTAATTTCCTCGCCCAGGCTGATTCCTCCCATGTAAAGAGGGAAAAAAAATCGCGATAAAAAAAGGAATCGAAGGCGAGACGATCGAAGAGTGAGAGTGCGGCTTTGCGCGTCGAGGTTGCAAGAGTTTGTACACGAGTTGAATGGGCCCGCGATATATCATAAGCGCGAGCTCTCGTGCTTCTTTGGGCGAGCCTCGCTGCGGGAGTGTCGTCCGTGAACCACGCGTTTGACGAAGATAAATAATCGCGTTTAACGACACGTCGATACGCAAATACGAGAAAACGAAAGAAAAAGATCTGAGGCCGGAATTCTCGAGGCGAGTTTTGAAAAATGCACGACACAACGGGAATGCTGATAACGTTGGCATATCGTTGCTAACGACGCGATAATTCCACGGCACAGCGATCACTCTGTTCGATTCGAGTTTGTATGTATCGTTTGATGAAACTCGAGTAAGGGAATAACTTTTGGAAAATGGAGGTTCTTCAAATGGAGAATCATTTTAGGGACGAGTTAAGCGGACACATGAGCGGACACGTTGAACGTTTAGTCCGAAACTCGAAGTAATTCCGTGGTTCTAGAGAAACTTCGATATACAGAGGAGGAAAGTGACCATCGTGGGGCGGCTTCCAGCTCGGTTAAAATTAGTTAAAGTTGGCCGAATGGTATCCAAGCTGGACCGGATTAAGGGAGAAATTGCACTTTGAGCTCGACTTCGACTGAACCGGTTACAAACTCGAAAAGCTCGAACTACACTTGTGTTTTGTGTTCAACTGTTGTTTCCTTTCAAAAAAGTACACCGGGTATGATATAGGTGCATGTGTGAGAGGAAGCGATTGTTGTACGTGTTTCTCGTTTCTAATTATCCTGGAATCAATTTGTGTAGAAGCAACTAGCGTGAGTAATGGTCCGGCTAGACTTAATAGGAGGACGAAGACAATTAAAAAAGTGGACACTGTGCGTGGTTGAATGGTTACAGAAGTATCAATTTCCGGTGTTCGATTTCGAATCGATCGAGTGGAAAATAGATCGAGCTCTTACGTCCTTATTACTCGAACTCGTTAAAAAACTTCGATGTCATAATTTAAATATTAAATTTTCATAATTGTAAGAATTTTAAAAAAAATTACATTCGAAATTGTTAAAAACTTTTTCATCCACTCGTTCTTCCATAATATGTTTTCCTTTACACAATAATCACAATAATTAATATTTATAATTTATAATTATTTGAACGAAATTGATTAATTTATTAAACAATACGATATTTTTGCGAGGAGCGAAGAGCAACACGTCCGTTCCGCTCCGTGTCCGGAAAACGACTCCGTTAAATCGATAATTTGGATATCAATAACACACCGATGTTATCGTTTCTTGCGCCGCGTTCGTGTTTATAACCGTAACATTTTCCACACTGTGCCGTCACTGTGCTCGTACATTTATTATTTAAATTTATTTTAAATAATTTAAATCAAATAAAGAACGAATAAATTTTGATAGAAAAAAATTCTACAATTCGAGAAACACGAAATAACGCAATATAATAAACGTAACGTCTTTTCATCATGTATGATCCATTTGCAGTTTACGTCTACCCTTCTTCTCCCAGTTAAATCTCGGTAGTGGCGAGTGAGTTTTATCTCCTTACCTAAACACGGCGATAAAACGATAAAGCGTGAAGCAATGTCGGGGAAACGGGCGCGTTGTTTTTCCCTCTGTCGTGTCTTAACGGGGCAAAAAAGTTGCGCACGCCACTTCAGCAATTCTCCTGTCGAAAATCGCGCCGCGGCAAAACCGCTCGTAAAACTCGACCGTGGTCTCTCACCTTCCACTCGTCTTCCGGCTTTATCGACCTCCGCCTGTTTTTAACGCTTGGAACCTGTCCGCGTTTTAACCGCGATACCATCTGCCATCTCGTCGAATCCTCGAGGAAAGGATCGTCCCTCGAAGGATAATTAAATCCTCGTTTCAGAGTGCTCATTCGGCCCGACATATGACGAGGAGAAGAGATCGGTGATCGAGCGTATCTCCGAGATAAACCGCGATAAATCGGCGGAAGCGCGTTCTCGTCCCGACGATATTTAAACTGAAAACTGCGCGACAGAAACTGCGGCGCAAGGTGGAAGGGTCGCTGATTACGAGGTGTTCGTTCCTTAATGCGTTCTTAAGCTGAAGTTTCATTACATCGTTCTCTCGCGGGGATCGTATATGACTCTTTCTTAAGTGTTCTTCTTCTTCTTCTTCTTTTGATGCTCGAATTTGTTGCGTAAAGTGTGCATTTAATAATAACTTGAAATAATTTGAAGATCTTTAATTGCTCGTGTCGTTAATTACTCGAATAAACGAGATATTCAAAATACGCATTATTTAAAGAATAAGACAATTCTTCATTTAAATTTCACTTCTCTATATATAAAAATTCACAGTCTGCAACGTAGAAAGAATGTTTTATCCATTGATCACCATCTGTAAATAATAATTTAATAATCATGAAACGAAAAATTAAATACACCAAAGGAAAACGAATTTCCCTTCGATTACACAATAACTCTTTAACGAATATAGAGTCTTTCACGGAATAATTTTCCAGATATCTATCCGCTTAATCCGCAAAACTGAAACGCGGCCGTCCGCATTCACGGGTGCCTCGAGTAGTTCCTCTTTCGTTGTTTACCTGCAGGCTAGCTCTCGACCGCGTTTAATCGGCCATTACGCCGGCCAACGAGCATCGGCCGTATCCGGGGAAAAATAGTTTACGCCAGACGCGTCACGATAAAAGCTCCCGGCCGGGGAATTTCATAGGTCGGGATTTTCACGGACCACTTGTGCCCTCCTCTCCTCCCTTTACCTCTCGTCCCTCCCTCGTGACAGAAATGATGTCGCGGAGAGGTGAAGTAATTAGGATGAAATTGCTTCAACCGCGTGATTATTTATCCCTCGAGAATTATCAACAGATTTTTTTAGATTTTTCAGATTTTAATCGAGATCCTCTAAACGATGATACGGATTTGAAGCGAATGGTTGGATTGAATTCGACGAGAAGGGATTTAAGTAATGATGTAAAAGTAATTTCGTTGGTGTGGATTATTGTGAAGAATTTGTCGATGCAATATTGGAGGTGAATATATACGAATGTTTTATATTTTATGATTTTATGAATTTACAATTTTATAGTTATACAAACTTGATGATCACGTTTAAGAAATGTATTTAATCAATTTATGAAATTGTTCGATTTATAATCAGATTTACGATATCGTTCTACTTAAATCAATCTTTCTTCGATCGTTCGAGCAACAAATAAGAATTTCATCATAGGGTAATCGAGAAAAGAATAGCGAGGTTTGACCCAATTCTTTTTGTTCTCGGCACGCGTTGCGTAAGAAAACAGCAAACTGGGATGAGAATCGCTTTTATCTCAACTCGGTTGCCAAGTTGAACCATTAAATCTCTCTCATCAATCACCCGGGCGAATTGTTTTCAACCCTTGTGTCAGGGATAAGCGTCCGCCACGAATCATCTTTATGAATGAAGGAATTATAAAAGACAGCATTCCTCGCGAACAACCGGAGGATGTCTTCAAGAGAAATGATTTTACATCTCCCGTAATTAATTTATAATGTAATAATTCCACTCTCTCTCTCTCTCTCTCTCTGTTACACAACGAAATTAAAAATTCTTATTATATCACTATTATATTAGATAAAACGATTTAGCTACTAAAATAATCATCGGTTGATAAAGCTTAATAAAATTCGTCGACAGCACGAATTTCCTCTCGAGACGCATCGTCAAATCTTCTGAAAAGATTAAATGCATGCACCACCCTCTCGTCGCGGACAGTAAAATGTCAGACGGATTTATCTTACGTAATTCTACTCATGCAGCAACGCGAATGCAGCTTCCCACATCGTCGTGAGGTTCAACGTTCCTCGGACAGATCCGATCTCGTTCTCTTTCTCCCTCTCTTTCTCTCTCTCTCTCCACGGATAAATGACTCGAGATAAACCGGGCGGCAATCGCCAAAGTGGATGCGAGAAAGAATTCGTCAAAGCGTCCTCGACGCTCGCCTCTTCGCCCGGTCGCATCGTCCCGAGATCTCTTTTATCCGACATTAACCCGTTAAGACACCGGCGAAAGTGCACCGTTGCCTTGTAGGAATATCAAAAGGAATACGGTTAATATTAAACACAGAGATACGGATCTCGGCCATTTAAGAAGATGCCAGCGTCTTATCGGTCCCAGGTTCAAAGACCGTTCGGTTTTGTTCCTTTGGTCGCCGCTCTTTTCATGAAAAGGGAAGCTCAACTTCCGCCTCCGTCCAATACATCCCTCGTCCTTTCTCGCCGCTCTACTGTCGCCCTGCTTTCTAATTAGCCGAGAGACACCGAATTACCAGGTATTCCATGAGCCTCCATGAAAGATTTCGAATAAATCTGTGAGGACGAATGACGAATTCGAAGAAGAGGTTATTCACAGATTTAAATTGTATTTTTCGTTCGTGTTTCTTTCATGGAGAAGTCGAGCACGTTTCACGTACATAAATTGAAAGAGGGAAAGTTAATCTAATCTGCTCTGGTTAATAATATTCCTTGTCCAAAAACACGAAACGAATTAGAAGAAATTGAAATGT